AAGGGCCCCCCCACCCCCCGCGGGGGCCCCTAACCCCCCCGTTGCCCCTTTTTTCCCCCCCCCGGGGGGAGGGGGAATTCTTTTTGGAAAAACCCCCCCCCCTTCCCATTGCCCTTTTCCGGGAGACATTTCTTTTTTGAAAAAAAAAAAGGGGGGGGGGAAAAAAAAAAATCGGTCGGGGCCCCCCCCCCCCCCCCCCCCCCCAGATGATTCGCTGCCAAAGCCTTGTCGCTCTCATTGTTCACCAGCCATGCGTTCATAATCGTTTTCGCTCGATGGCAGCCGGCGTTGGTGCTAATCCACGGGTTCGGCGCCAGCGTGTACCACTGGCGATACAACATCCCCGCCCTCGTCAAGCAAGGGTACCGCGTCTTGGCGCTTGACTTGCTCGGCTTCGGCCTTAGCGACAAGCCCATCATCGAGTACTCCGCCGAGACCTGGCGCGATCAGGTATGATCCATGGCTTCTTTGCTAAGTGTAATGAGGTTCGAATTTGAAAAGAATTGCCTATGTTGGAATGCAGCTATTACGCCATTGCATCATTGAACAAACCGGGCTATCACCAAGTGGACCAAGCCAGAGGGAGCTCTGCACGGCTACCATTTTCCCGATGCGCTGCGCGATGAGTGAATCCACCAAGCTGCATACTTCTGTTACTCGTGTACGTGGCGAAAAACAGACTGTGGTATGTAAGTCAGCAGTAGTACTCCCAGCACAAGACCGCATGAAGGGAGGCCTGCCGCCCTGCACCAAAGGCCGATGGAATCGCGTGACACATGTGTTTGCCCAAGTTGTCTTTACCTGATTCCTTCCTGTTCGTATGTAGATGGCCTCCATCCTAAGAGACAGCAGTCCCTGACTCCACATATCTCAAGGTTTGTTTTTTGGCGGTGGTCCCCTTTCTTTGCCAGGTTTGTGCGTTTGTGACGGAGGTGGTGGGGGCGGATGCGGTGGTGGCGGGGAATTCCCTGGGAGGATTTACGGCCTTGGCCGCTGCCTCGCACGCTCCGAACAGCATTAAGGTGGGCCGCTTTGGTGCTTGCTGTTGGAGTTGCCTTTGGTGATTCATGGTTAATGTTGGTGTTCATGGTTGATGTTGGTGGAGTGTTGTTGTTGTCGTTGTCGTTGTCGTTGTTGTTGTTGTTGTTGTTGTTGTTGTTGTTGTTGTTGTTGTTGTTGTTGTTGTTTCGTGTTGCTGCTGTCGTTGCTGATGTTGTTGCTGCTGCCGCCGCTGCTGCTGCTGCTGCTGCTGCTGCTTCGTCGACGATGCTCGTGCGTGCGCTTCGATCCCACAATGTATCTCCCCTCTCACCCTGGATCCCCTCCAACGCCGCAGGGCTGTGTGATGCTCAACGGCGCTGGGAGATTCCGCGACCGAGAACAGGAAGCTCTCCTCGAAGTTCAGAAGGTATCTAAGGCATCTACGCTATCTACGGCGGTGCCGCACACCACAAAAAAAAATCAACAGAAGATGGACACATTTCCAAGTCCAGTAAACGTCCGCAAGGGGAAGTGTCCGAGGGCGGGGTGTCAAGAAACGTCGTGTTGAGGGAGAGACCTCCGCGAAAAGTAGCCCCCTGTGTTGTCGCCACACATCAAACTGGGAATATTGATCTAGGTTGGGTATGTTGCCACCGTCTCTGGGCAGCATTGGGGGATTATGCTTGGCGCTCCAGAATGCCTCAAGTTCCAGCACACGTGATGCGAGCTTCGCCTGACCGGCCGAGTCGCTCTACAGGCATACGCAGCACCACCGGCTTTTTGTCGTGGGATGTGCACTTTTGCATTGGACACTTGAACGGTGGTGCCAAGCATCTACCTCTGTCTAGTGACGCTCTCCCTCGGGTAGCGAGTCACTTGATCCCTCTCTGTTTCTCTCTCCTTCTGTGTCTGTCTGTCTGTCTGTCTGTCTCTCTCTCTCTCTATATATATATATGTATTATCTCTGTTTATCCATCTCCCTATGCGTTTGTCTCTCTGTCTGTCTATCTCTCCCTGTCTGTCTCTGTCTCTGTCTCTGCCTCTGCCTGTCACTGTCTGTCTCCCCTTCCTCTGTTCCTCTTTTTTCATATCTCTCCGTCCGCCCTCCACGCCCCCCCCTCGCAACTGCAATCTCCATAATTTTTCCCTCTGCTCTCCCCGACACCGCCGTTCTTCTCGCCCTTGCTCCTATCATCTTCCTACCCTTGGGGTGTACCATCGGCATCTCCTACGACCATCGTTCATGGACACGTGAAACGTATGAAGAATGCCCCCCCTAGACCCCCGTTCTTGCTGGCGTGGGACGAGGCCATCAAGTACGTGGGCACGTTTGTGCAGCGGGCCATTACGAGAGCGAGCTTCTACTACACGAAGCAGCCGGCCCGGATTAAGCAGGTGGGGGGTGAATTTAGTGTTGTTGCTGTTGCTGTTGGTGGTGCTGGTTGTAGTTTGCAGCGGGCGTGCCTGCTACGCATAGAACGATTCGTGTTGCCTCTCCTTCGTGTCGTTCTTTTGTATGTTTGGCCCATGGTACACTAGTACATGCTCTGTTGCCACCAGGACTCCGGCTCCCAGCTAATTTTCTTAGTTCTCTTGAGGCTGTTGGTTGTTTGGTTGAAGAATTCACGGGAATGACGACTAGTCTAGCAGGCGGTGTACCCGCTTGTCTATCAATAAGAGGCACGTCAGTCGTTGTTGTTTCCAGGCGAGTGCTCTTTGAAGCGGGGTTGGTTCGACATTGATGGCACAACGATTGCAGTAGCTCGGGACATCCTGTAGAAATCAGCAGTCCAGCAGAATATGCCTTCGTTGCTGACCTTTGTGAAACGGCTTTTAGCAATGGCAAGGCTGTTCTCAAGCTTGGTGCGAGATGGAGACACTTTTCTACAACACCAGCCACCCTCTCTCTCTCTCCCTCTCTTCTTCCTCTCTCTGTCTCTGTCTCTGTCTCTGTCTCTGTCTCTCCCGCTCTCGCTCCCCCCCCCCCTATCTCGGTGTGACGTGGCAAGTGACGACCCCCTTGTTATCCGTCTATACAACTACTCTCTCCGCGCGTGGTTTTTCGACGACTATCCCCCAACTCCGTCGCATGTTGTCGTTGCCGATGCTATCCCCATCGCTGCCATGCGACGTTGCGGCACCCCTTATTATTTTCGCTTTCAGGTTCTGACACAAGTGTACCCAGACCCTCGCAACGTTGACGACGAGCTGGTGGAGAGCATCCGCGTGCCCTCTTTGGACCCGAACGCCCCCGAGGTAAACTCGCTCTCGGCAGCTACCGATGTGTAGATTTCCGCTGACATTTTGGCCATGAATTGGAGATGTTATCGTGCAAGAATACCCCCCCCCCCCCCCCCCTCACGGTGAGACGTAGTAGTTCGGCTTCTGAAACAATGTGAGTGGGTTGAGTTTCTTGCGTCGCCTTTTTTTTTTTCCCGATCGCAAGAGTAGAGTAGTGTTCTGTTTCGGGGCCATGTTGACTTGTTGATGTCTTCTGGGGTGTGAGTCACCTCGTGTCGCTTGCGGTAGCCAGACGCACGCCGTAGTGTTGATGTCGCTAGACTTGCATCCGAGACGCATTGCGCGGTCGTCTTTGTCGACAACCGACGTGGACTGCCGCCGTACGGCACGCGAGGTGCACTGAGGGCGCATTCGAAGGTTGGCACGGGGGGCGCCACACTGCTGTCTCTCTTTCTCTCCTTCTCTCAAATCAGCATCAGCGGAGAGCGGTGTCTCACCGGAAAAATGACACCCTCGTGGAGGCGGCGAGACTGTGGATAGGTTTTGCTATTCTTCGCGGTGTGTTCCCGTGTTGTCGAAACGGAGTCAGTCGTGTTTGCTGATGGTGGCCGTGAATCACATGCGTGTTGCGTCGAGTTTGAGTGCATCTACTGTAAGGCGGGGTTAACCCCCTTTCAACGGCAACAACACGCACACCGTAGGCTACTACTGTTGTACGTTGCAAATGTGAAAAAAGCAAAGACAAAGACAATTTACAAGGAGGAAGGACGACGGGATGCCCATGCAACCCGGTTGTTGGCTCGCCCGCCGAAATTCTGAGAAAACAAAAAATTGTGGAAATATTTGTTGAAATTGACACATTTGTTTTCGGGCGGCCGTTTCTTCTTCTTGCAGGTGTTCCAACGCGTTATTTCTAGGACAGGGGGGCCTGGGCTGACCGTGGATGAACTCCTCGAAGGTTTCACGTCGCCCCTTCTTTTGTTGTGGGGAGAGCTCGACCCTTGGATTCGACCCGCGGCGGCCGACAAAATCCAGGCAAGGACCAAGAACGCCCACAAGGCTATATTTTATGTTATTTCATTTTTTCAGGACCTTTTTTTTTGTGGTGTTTTTTTTGTGCTTGATGTAGACGGTTTCACGTCGCCCCTTCTCTTGTTGTGGGGAGAGGTCGATCCGTGGATTCGACCCGCGGCCGCGGAGCAAACCCAGTCATGTTTTTTTAATCGAACCCCCTGACGGAGGAACAGCCGCACAGTATACACGCACACACACAAACGTAGAGTAGACACCATGCCCTGGGCAGCGGGCAGCCGCTGCTTGAGTGTCCCCGATCACACGCCAGCCCCGCCAGGCTTGACGGTGCAGGGTATCTGGAGGGTTAACTGGGTTGGTGGTGGTGTGGTCGACCGGCATGGCAACACCGCGACGAGAAGCACCACCGTGTCTGCGCTTCCACGCAGCTTTTGTAGCTGTCTGTGCCCCCCCCCCCCGATCCCGTCCTTAAGAGTTCTATCCTGCGTTTGTGCCTCTCTGTGCAGTCTCGTCTGTTTTTAATTTCCTCGGTCGGTGTTCGCTCATCCAAGCTACACCTACCTTGGCCTTACGAACATGGCGTTTTGCATGCGGAACTTATTGCTCGGCCTCATCCTCGAGTTTAACAACAGTTATATTGTTGTGCGGCCCCCGAGTTCGATCGCAGAAAGAACTGCGGCTACCCCGGAGGAGTCGCCCGCTTGTCCTTGATCAGACTGATCGAAGTCGTCTTCGGAATCTGAGACGAAATACCCATACAGCATGCAGAGCCCAATATAAAGGCAACTTGAATAATAGTGGAACTGCTTATCGATATAGTGGCATCAGGATCTCTTGTCACAATCTCAACATGCGCATGAACCCGATATTGCGAATAGCGGCACTGCCCCGAATAGTGCCATATTGTCCTCTTGCCCCTACTTGCAACTATACCGGATCACCTCCTGTATATATAGACCACCAAATCGGATATCTGCCTCGTTTGTGTTATTGGATTCTTGATCATTTATTTATTTATTTTTTTATGACTCACGTCTGTATCATGTGCCGAGCAGGAACAACAAGGCGCTGACGCAGCGTTCAACACGAATTATTTCGTCTCTCCATAATGAGCATCTTCACACAGCAGTGTAGGCAAGGCATCCGCTCAAAAAACGGCCTTATCTTCATTGCGCTTCGGTTTAAGAGTATGTACATTTCCAGGTTTAAATGGGAAATACAGTTCGGGCTTGTTCCGACCCTCTGTAACCGTAGCCACCACCGCTGCACTTCTGCACGAGTCTGTGTGCATTGTGGTGTACTATCCTCCGGCAATGTACGTTTGCATAGAATAGATTAGATCATGTCTTGCCCAAGTCTTCCATATTCCGTGTATGACCAAGGCGATGCGGAAGTACGCTTTGATCTCGTACGTAGCATGGCGACATTGCCAATCTTCGCATCAGCCGACCTGACCTACGCTGCAGCTATCGCGGTACCAAGCATTCCAACAACAGTGAATTCGTCGCTGCTGTCCAGGCAGTCTTTTATCTAAGGCCTGACGAAGGGGAAGTTTTTTTTTTTTTTCCCGTTGTACAACATTTTTTTTCATCGGCGTGTGTGACGTTTGTTTTTCTCCAACCTCATCGCGAACCGTTCCTTGCGTGTGGTCCCCATCTACAGGGGCTTTATCCGGAGGCGACGAGGTTCAGCGTGCAGGCTGGCCACTGGTGAGCGAGACGTGTACGGTGCACAAAGACGGGGAATTAGGACACGGCTCCCCGATCACAATGGACAACACGCAACCGTAGACAACTTTTTTTGCGCATGTGCTGTACAAGTACTTTCGTTGAGCATGTGATTCGTCCCCCCCCCCCCGCATGTTTTCCCGTGGTTGTGTATTGTGTCTGACGAGTACGAGTGTTTCGCATGTGGTTTTTGTTGACCCGTGCGTGGCACGTGCCTCTCCTGTCTCCTCACCGTGCCGTGATTCTACTGCTCGATTTCTCTCTTGTCTTCTTTGTCTCTTGTCTCCCTCTACAACCTCTGTCTGTCTATCTGTCCATCTCTCTCTCTCTCTCTCTCTCTCTCTCTCTCTCTCTCTCTCTCTCTCTCTCTCTCTCTTTCTCTCCGGACACTTGCTCTCGTTTTCTCCTCCGTCCGCATGCCCATCTCTCTCTCTCTCCGCCTGTCTCTTCTTCTCTTCTTGGACACCTCTGTCAACCTATTCCTTTGTCCGCGTGCCGCGTGTTGCCCCAACCCAACTCAACCATTGCTCTCTTCGCCTTGTCCGAACCCACCTCAACCATCGCAATCGCTCGGACATTTACACCCATTATTCGCTTGGCTTTTTTTTTTCCAGTCCTCACGACGAAGCCCCCGAGGTCGTGAACGATGCCCTCGTCAGCTGGCTCAAAACCATCGGCTACAAAGCTTGAAATAGTCGCCAGCACCGAGGGCTTGTTCATAGGCGGCGCATGGCGGCAACGGCGTGTCAAAAGCAAACAAACCGAAGAATGGGCGTCGAACAACTACCTGTAGACAGCGCTTGGCAAAACCCCGACAATAGACACGGTTGGGTGGGGGCAGCACTGTCCCGCACCGTGCCAAACTACTGGACATGCCCTCCACGGCGATTGTGATGGGAGACATTTTTTTTTAATTCATCGTGTTTGGGATAGTTCTGTTTTTCAGTCGATTGTTTCGGATTGTCGTTGCTGCTGGGCTGCTCTTGAAGCATGTAAATAACTGTAGGCGTGTCTCGGGACAGCTCCTAAACAACAAGAAAAGTCCACGGGAAGGGTTCGGCGCAGATCTTCGGACGATAATTATTGTACACCATTTTACAGCACGTGCCGTTCACATGCGCAGCAGCAGCACCGCGTGACAACAATTCAATCTTGTTTTTTTAGGTGCTTTTCTTTCTTGATATTGGGCACTATCGTGTGGCGTCCATGTGTGAAGATGGCGAGAAATGAGCTGTAGTTGCCAATGTTAGCGGTCCTTCGTCAACCGAACCCTAGGTATGATGCTGCGCTCTTCGTTGTTAACCGGAACGTAGCAGTCAAGACGCTGGTGCCCGAGCTGATGGCTGTTCTTCATGGCTTGACATGTTTGAGGGATCGTCAAGTTGTGGTGCGGTGGCTTGCTTGCACGGGTTTCCGTCCTTTTTTTTGTAGTTTTCTAGTAGGTGTGTTGGGGCGTTGTTGTCGAAATCTGAGAAGGTGGAGCGTTGAGGGAAGGCAGAGCCCGTGAGTGGAACTATTGGATGGATGTCACCACCGAGGTTAGGATAGGATGATTGGATGATGATCGGATGCGAATGTTGTTGGGATTGGATGTAGACTACGATAGCACGGCACCTACCAGAGGTATCGGGGCATTGCAATCGGGGCATTGCAGGGTATCTGGTTCTTGAGAAGGCAACACTACAGAGGGAAGGGAAAAAACCATGCCTTGTTGTTGATCGTCAAGACGAGGGAAAGGGTTTCCTGAATCCATTGTTTAGGAGAAACGTAAAACCGAAGTACAGAGCACATTCAAAGGGAAATGTTTGAAGTCTGCTTTGGCCTTCGTACTGAGATTAACGGTGTAAACCTACTAGTATCAGGTTGGACTTCGATTCTCTCTCTGGAATGGAATTGTTTTTCGCAGCTTACCGCGGAAATGAATATTACGTGAGTGTGACACATTCCGACTTGACGGTCGACGAGGGAAAGCGACAGTTGAACCCTTCGCACGAAAAAGTTCGAGGCACGCACCGTGGGAGGGAATGCAGGGCGACAAAATGAAAGGACGATGATTAAGTTCCTGACTAACGTTTCTCCTGCGTGACCCCGGAATTCTTGTCGACACTAGTACCTGGTACAACACCGAGAGGAGCGCAGACTGACGCCAGAATAGATGGGGACGACCGGACACACTAGATAAAGCAGTGACAACAGCCGGAACAGAGTTCTTTCTGCTCGTGATTACACACCCAAATCGTTTTTTCAACTCGGGCGGCTTGGGCGAAGAGGGCAAAGAACAAAGTCATTTCTGCTCGTGGTTTCACACCCAAATTGTATTTTCAACTCGCGCGACTTGGCGAGGAGGGCAAAGAACAAAGTTATTTCTGCTCGTGACTACACACTCGAATTGGTTTTACAACTCGAGCGACATGGCTCGCAAATATATGAGGAAGGACTGAGACACGAATTCACAAAAACGCCATTCACCGACGGACGTGCCCTACGTTGCCGGTAAATAGTGAAACAACATACGTATACATACGATGGTGAAATACTAACCCTATGCATAGTTGAGACACGCGGGGCGCACACAAGCCCTTTCGCCCAATATCCTCCGCGCGTCCCCCGTCAGGGGAGCCCGCTGACCAGAACCAAAAAAATATGTTCCGCCTGTTTTACCCCGCAACAAGACGTTTAGCTGGTTAGTGCGGTCTATGACATGTCAAGAAGAATACAACACGTACACGTACACGAAACGCTGGTACCTACAAGATCGTTTTGACACTACCACACAGCATTGTTGGTGATTCCCCGACGAGAGACTGTTGTTGTAATCAAACACACTGGGCAAATCATCAGTCTTGCTTGACGTTGCTGCCGCCTTCCTTTTTCTTCTTGGGATTTTGGGCGTCCTTCCCTCGTGCCGCCGCTACCGACGGCTCTGCCTCCGTCCCTGGCGCAGCGGTTGCCGTTCCCTCCTGCCTGTCCGCCTTGGCCTTCTTCACAAGCCGCTCGATGCCGCGTCTGCTTCGGTGCACAAGTCGTGGTATATTCCGCGCAGAGAGGGGGGGGGCGGAGGCAGAGAGGGAGAGCGGAGGGGGATAGGATTGTTGACGTGGTAGTCGTCCTTCAGCGTTATCACCTCTGGCCTTCTGAGATGCGCCGTACAAGAGAAGCCGCGACAACCAACGCCCTTCGAAGATGCACACCATGCGATCGAGCGCAAGATCGACACAATTGTAAAAAAAAAAACATCTCGAGGGGGTACTCCACGAAAAACAAACTCGATAGTCGTCGTGCCCACTATTTAGTATCATAGTGAAAATATCCACCTCTGTAGCCAAAGCAAGTGGTGATGACTTCCCAATAACTTTTCCAATAATTTTCCAATAAGTTGTCCAAGTCTAAGAGTAGGCACTGCATACTTTCTGCCCTTTGACGCCTTGTTACACGGTGACATTGGCGTGTGTGGCGTCGGAGTGCACGGATCAAAATCCGCCACCTAGAGTAAGGGGCGATTTGGTGGAATTCCGTCGGGCATCGCGCCGTTTTTTCACGGAACCCCTTGTCGACAAGTCGTTCCGAAAACGGAGAACCCTGTTGCAACACTCGGTTGACCTGCGGCTGCATCGTGCGGCGCTGCTTGTATCATTTAAGCAAAACGCATTTTGATTTGGCAACGCACCTGAGGAACTTGACGATTCCGGACGCGATAATAACGCCGAACATCATGGTGATCCCCGGCCTGTTTTTCTCGAGGAACCCCTTTTCCTCCGGCGGGAGAACATCGAGTTTAGCCGCCACGCCCCCTGTAGACGGGGCGGCAGGGCGGGGGGGGGTGGAAGGAGGAGTACGAGGAGAGCGGCGGAGAGGGAAAAGTAAGAGGTATTGAGAAGGTGGATAGAAAGATCAATGGATATAAAAAATATGAAAATGTAGAATAGGTAGGAAGGTGGAGGTAGAGCAAGAGAGAGATCGACAGGAGAGAGAGAGAGAGAGAGAGAGAGAGAGAGAGAGAATGGGGTGCATGCCTATTGAGAAGACAAAGCCTACGCACAACGTATGCCTGTGGTACTGGAGGAAAAACGGGTCGAGATGTTGTCAGGGCCCGCTGCAGTTTCTTCACGAACCCGCTGAACGCAGAGTAACAACCGCTGGCTGTGGATCTACGCCGCCTCTGTCTTTTCACTCTGATCCTGCGTCCAAAACCAGGATGGATAAATTTCGCCTCGATTACATCAGCAGTGGCAGCAAAAAACAACAAAAGCTAAAAAAACGGCCACCCGACCCCGAAAAAAGAACGCTCACGGTAGCGTATCATTCCTTGTACGGTTGATCATCTCAACAACCGAACTACCTCGGGTTTTCTCGAGGACCGCAAAAGTAACGAGCATTTCGAGCTTGCCGACGTCTCGCCGAGGAGGTTTTTCTTACCGTCCGTGTTGATCCTCCACGCCGCGAGAACCACTAGCCCCGGAGCGGCTATAGTCTTCGGGTGGAAATCCAACGCCACCTGCGGGTCACCGATTCCACCGGGTGCACGCTCGTTGTTGTTGTTGTTGTTGTTGTTGTTGTTGTCGTTGTTGTTGCTGTTGTTGTTGCTGTTGCTGTTTCCGTTAAAAAAAACGAAAATTCCGGCCTATGCTTAGTACCACGTTCCAACATCTGCACCGTCCCAACCGACGCGGACACCTTCCATGGTCACCGGCCAACTACATGTACCCCAAAAGAAAAAAGGCAAGAGTTCGACCGGTAAACTAGAGGGATAGACGGGGTGGGGGGAGCTCGATGGCGACTGAAGCACAACGTTGAAGACGGCCAGTAGGGATACAACGTAAAAAACACGCCAGATAGCGTCAGCGGATGCCACGCAGCAGTGCCTACGGCTTACCTCGTACCGCGCCGTGATGTCTTCGCCATTGTCCCCCGAACCCTCTCCGAAAACATCCAGGAACACTACCATGGGAAACCATGCCGTTCTCTCCGGCCCCTCGCCGTACTATTGTTGTTGTTGCCGTTGTTGTTGTTGTTGTTGATGTTGATGTTGCGTGGAGACGGCCGACACCCAGAAGGAAAGAGCCGAGCGGCTATCAGATTCGGATACAAGCAGTGATCAGATTAGGACCGTTATTGAGAAGACCACATGGACCAGACAATGTCCAAGATATTAACAAGCACCGTTAACAAGCAAAATGCGAGGGATGAGGAGAGCAGGGTTTCCGTAATGAACGCCAATTGCTGCTGACGGTCGTTGCCCAGTCGTGACTGCAGTAGACATGTTAACAGCAACCGTCGCTGCGGGGAGCATTGTCATTGCTTTTAACCGACGGTCGTCTCGAAGGATGTCGGAAGATAGACTGCCGTCGACGCAACGCAACACCAATGCAGCTGCCTCCCGACAACTAGGGTTTCCCTTGTACGCGAGCCCAATGACCAATGACCCCCGTGCCTCGCGTGCCAGTAATGCACGGGTACCGCGTCCTAAATGAGTTCTTTTGCGTGTGCTGTCCGAGAGCGAAACACCTTGGAGCGACAGCCGATCCTCGTTTAATTTATCCACACGCAACTCGCTCTCCCTCTCCGGCCCCCGCGGGGGCTCAACACGCAGTCCAGTTAACGCGAGCAAGCAGTTCAACGGGCTACATTTGTCGTCCCCGCGATTGTGTGCCAGTACCCTCCCGGGCCAAATAACTAGTGCGGTCTTGAGCATCAAACACATGTCATCATGACAACTGTAACAAAAGACAATGAGAAAAAGTGACGGCGAGAGAGAATCGAGCGGGGGAGTTCTGCGAGTGGTGGATAAGTAAACACAGCAGGTTGCACAACAAACCGCGCACCCCTGGAACGCACTTGAAAGCTCGGTTGTTCCACGACGAAGGGGACGCCAAAACCACATGATAGGTTGATGGAACGCCCTCGTCGACACGGTTCCAACGCTACCTATTTCGGCATGGTCACATTTTTCCACCCGCGCCAACAGCCGTGTTTCGGCCAACGTGCCGTGTGGGTCCAATACGAAACCGTTTTACATGCACAGAGGCACGGCGTACGCCGAAATCATAGGGCCCTTCACCTCTTTGTCTCTATCTGAGTGTGAGATCCGAACGAGGGAACCGAAGGCGTAACCCGACTTGTTCAGCAGCTTCTGCGCCGCCGAGCCCAACGAGATGAAGTGAGCCGTGATCGGATCCGATTCCCGCACCTGAATAATAAAAAACAACAGAGAGTAACCGTAGAACAGACGTGGGACACCGGCAGTTCCGAGGGAATCGTGTGTGTGTATGTGTGTGGGTTTTACTCATGGCCGTGCATGCCGTAGTCGTTAGGCCATTGACCTCGCATCCCTATCGGAGCACACCGAAAATCCAGGGCGGGGGGGGGGGTACTCATAGTCGTGCATGCCGTACTCGTTAGACCATTTACCTCGCATCCCTACAACGCCGGGACGGAGCACGCCGGGTTCTCACCGGACCAGGCTCTCACATCACCAAGTGCGAAGCACCGCGAGATATTCGGCGAGTCTCATAAAGGGTGTGCCGCATCCTGCTAAGGGTGCTCGGCATCCTGAGCAAAATCCTTCGATACGGATGACAGCTGCGAATGACTTCCTTTTATTTTCTGTTGCTTTCACTTCCAGACAGTTATGTGTAACTGCCTCGAGGGAATCTGGGGGGGGCGGGCCTACAAAACTGGTGTGCAGTCGGGGTCGCAATACTGCGTGTGGGTCCAAAAGGAGGCTTCCGTGCCGAAAATTGGCTCGGGTTCGCAGGAAGCAAAAGAAAATACCGAACATGCACATCTCAGCGGTTAATGCCACGCTGCACCCCGTACAGCAGTAGCCCATGATCCACGGTGGCGGATGCGATTAATACGCGAACTGAGGCTTGGCCTGAACCTGACGTTTCTGAAAGCCGCCCCCAACTGCTGCTGTACTTTCCTGTAGGGCCTCTCATGTTTAAGAAGTAAAGTGACACGTATGACGCGGTATGTAGCAGTCCACGGGAGGGCCCCTGTGGGGTGTTCCAAGTCGTAGTACAACGGTCTACCAAAGGGACAAGGCTATGGAAAAAAATCGTGGCAGCCGTAAATACACCACACCGACAGCCGCACACACATGCACGCTAAGGGGCATCCGTGTTACGCAGGGCCAAAACATTTTGAACGGCGGCGGTGTGGTTCGGAAACGAGCACCCGGGCAGGGGCCCCAAATGTATGGAGGAGGCATCAGCAAGCAGCGTCTCCTTGTGGGTAAAAAACTATGCTGGTATGCTTGTGGGGTTGGGAAGGTCTTCCTTTCTCGCCGAAACGGCCACGCGCGCCGTCGCGCCTAATGGCGGTGTTGATGTGCGTCCATAGACTTGCGCACAAACGACGTATGCGGAAGAAGCCGGTGTGAAACCGATGCTGATGCAGCGCCGTGGCGTCGTTTCGCGCCGCGGGCGTTATTTGCCGATTCGAACGCAAAAAATATGGTACTCTTTTGGTTTCTTTGTCGACGATTTCCACCGACACAGGGTGTCACATTCCCCTCGCACACCGGTACTGCTTGGAAGCGAAAATGCTTGGATGACGGCTTCCAGTGACCGCTTAGGGACGTTTTCAATTGGACGTTTTCAAAATTGTTCTTACACGAAGAAAAACCATGTGCTGCAGGTACGTACTGCTGTATCTCGTTCCTCGAACCTTTTCGGCAGACAGGTCCATGACTGAGTGAGATCACGGAGAGAGCGTGTGCCTCAGCAAAACCAATGAACCCCACGACGTCAGCGAGCTGAGAGACGCCGACCTGGGCAGATCATACTCTACACCTTGCCATGTACCCTACACTACTGCTGTAGTGTAAGAAGTACATTGCTGTACCTCGTACTCTTCTTGAGTGCTTCCATCCGCGAGGAGGACGTCCCCTGATCTGGTGAGCGCGACACCTTCTCCCCCAAGTCTAGCAGCATCAGCGTGCAAAGACAGCAGCGTTACGACAGTTGCCACTAATAGGAACCACATTCGGTTCCATCGACCTGTTGGCGCCATATCGTGCGTTGTGGTAGCTGCGCAGCACAGAACAGCAGCAGCAGCGACTACTCCGCTGCTCGGCTGCTCGGTCGGTTGACAGCACAGATGCGCCGCAACTCTGCAAGGGGGGGTGCCGCGAAATCATGACGGGGTCCACCAATCACCGAATCGCCGAATTATTTTATTATAGGGGGTCCTCCGGGTTCTGTCAAAAGAAACAATTCATTTAATGCAAATAGGGGTCCCACGGAAATACAATTTGTTCCACTTCGCAGTTTAGCAAGTCGTCACTGCGGGCTGCCTTGTTCTCACATCCCCGTAGAGCGTACTGAGAGGAACACCACCACACGCCGCAGGCCCTCTCACGCACGCACCCCACACTTGGCTGTACGGAGGAGAGAAGACCCCTACAGGAACCCTCACCAGAAGCGAGAGAGAGAGAAAGAGAGAGAGGGGGAGAAGGACAGGTGGCAATCTCGTGGCCGTCACTACCGGTGTGACCTGCTGCTGCTGTGCGTGGCAGAGGGAAGGAAGAGGGAACTTTTTAGCGCCGTTCCCCACCCACCATGGGCGGGGCCGGGAATGCTGCCGTTGTGGCGGTAGGGCGCACGTTTTTCCGGGTAGCCATCGTGGGCTACACGCTGTCCGGGTTGGCCATGTTCCCGTCGGTGATCCTGGGGGTCAGCAAGGGTTACTTCGAGTGGGAGATGGACCGGTGCACATGCGTTGTGGAGCAGGAGGCGGCGGCAACGACCGGCCAACCGATCGTCTCTTCCAGCTCCCTGTCCGGCACCGGCACGACGGCGGGCGCGTCGTCCTCGTGCGTCTTCGGGCAGGACTTCGCCAAGGTCAGCATCGGCTGGAAGGAGTTCACCTACGACAAGCTGGTGCACACGGTGGGGTGCCCGATCGCCACGGCCTTCTACGAAGCGAACCCCGCTCTCGACGACGACGATCTCAATCTCGACAACGAGAGGTCGCTCTACTTCTTCGATGAGGTCTACCCCCTGGATGGCGAGTTCCAGAAGACGGACAACCCCACCCAGGCGGACGAGTCCAACGGCGGGTCCGAGGCGGGCGGCGGGGTGGTGGCCATGCAGGTGGTGCTGACGTTCTTCTCCATCCTCACGTACAAGATGCTCAAGGCTTCGTATCTGAGCAACGGTTCTCACTGCAGCATCGGCCTGGCCCTGATGACCCGGCTCAACCTTCTGGTGGGCGTGGGCACCGCGGCGGCGATCGTAAGCTTTTGGTGGCTCATCGAGGGACGGTTCGGGGACGAGCAGAAGGCGCTCACCACTGCACTCGAGAACGTGAGAGCCTCCTCTTTGCTGTGTCTCTTTGGGGAACAGACAAGACATGTCTTGCTGTTATTATTATAGTGTTTTTTCGTCAACGAAAGTTTTTCGCTATTTTTTAGTATTCCGTGTGTGCGTCGTTCGATTTGCCGACCCCTTAGACTACGTTCCCCGTCCAGCTCATGGTTGCCGGGTGTTATAGAGCGAGAGCGTTGTTGTGTCCAGCACGGCCTTCGTGATGCAGGCAGCAGGCAGTCATCATCCACGGTTCTTCTTGACGTTGCTTCTCGAGCAGCAGCAGACTCTCGCACAAGTTCTTGTTGCCCGAGACCCCTCCCTCATCCCCTGCTGTTGCGTTTGTTCGTTTTGTTACACGCACACACCAGACACGCCAGACACTTTGTGTGGTGTTTTCGTTGTGTAGGCACAAGCGTGCGCTGAGAGATGGCGGCGGTGTAGCAAAGCACAACAGACATAGATGATCGCACGCGGAGGTGGCGCGTTTCACGTGAACCCTCTGCCAGAATACCGGCGGCCTTCGTATCTCCGAAAGTTTGGGAAGCAGATGGTGCCGTCGTGCCTCGTGCCGCGCGCGGCCGATAACGCTTCTGTTTTTTTTTGGGCCACATAAGCATCCCATCCGGGATGCTTTTTTGGTTGTGACGCGAGCGGTTAGTTGGCCCGGTATGCTTCGCGCTTGCCAGCTGGCTGAAGCCCATACTGGCATCTATGCACACCCGGTAGGCTTGTCAAGACGTGGCTCGGCAAGGCGTGTTTGAATCTCAGTAGAAGTGTACGCTGCTCCTCTCTCACTCGTCTAGTCTTAAGTTAATTCTGGTTCTTTCGCCTATATCAAAATTCAAATATTCAGAAAAAGTTCCATACGTCAATGAGAAGCGTGCAACGAACAACGGAGCGGGCTTGCCTCCTGCCTCCCTCCCAAGGCATTTCGCACTGCGCACTCTCTCTTCATGTTGAGGCCGGAAATGTGGCTAAGTATAACAAAGACTAGCGTGCGGCAATAGGAACGGCAGATTTTCGTTTGGAGCCTGGGAAGAAGACGATAGTTTTCAGTGAGCGGCAGAACAGCGATAAATTTCTTGGGGCAAGTGTATGGTTTTTCGGAAAGAAGGCACGCCACACCATGAACGGATAGATCGACCCGAGCTTTTCATATTTTTTGTCGATGCTGGGGAGCATGAATGCATACATACCGTAAGAGTCGGAGAGATGGCACCCCCGTGTTAGCGTTTTTTTTTTATGTCGTATTTCTCCACAACTAGGAGGGTGCGAACTCCAACCGATACCTGTCAGGAACGCCTTCGGTGAGATGTTCCCAAAACTACCCTTTTCGGCAGTGGTAGAGTACCCCCCTGGTTTGTGGAGAAATAAGCTATACAAAAACGCTAACACGGGGGTGCCATCTCTCCGACTCTTACGGTACACCAGAGGGTACATGCTGATGATGGTTTGGTGGGGGGGGAAAATCATGTCCATGTCACGTTTCAAGTGTTTTAAGTGCTTTTGGTTTCCCCCCCCTGAAGTAGCAAAAGTAAAAAGTTTCCAAATTGGCAACTTGGCGTCCAACGAACACGCCATGCCCGCCCGCCGGTTATTTGCCCGAAATAGGATTCCATCCCACGCACAGGTCCATGTACTGCTCATACATCGGACATGCATGTGTAATAATAACCCGATTCCCGTTCTATCGCTGTCCTCAGATCTTGTTTGATGAATGCTGGGGCGAGACTGCGGACGATGACGCGGCAGGTCTTCAAACGTTCTGCCCCGTTAGGCCGTGGACTTTCACAGGGCCCGGCCTCCCGATGATGTTGGGTATTTTCCAGGTGAGAGGCCGGTTCACACCATGATATTTGTTATGAACCGGGATGGGAGATATCCTCACAGCGCTTGTGAAACGAGTTGGTCGTTCGAACATGGGCAGAGGAGCGACGTACAAGCACCACGCCTTCATCACCTGTAATGGTGCTGACAAGGCAGTAAGCATCATCTTTTGGTTTTACAACATTTGTTTCTCTTGGGTGGAGACGTCACCGTGTTTGAGTATGTGGGTGTGGCTTAAGGCTGTAGCCGACGTACCTCACAGCAGTGGAATGAGGACGATTTGTCACACGGCGGAACAACACTCCCAGTCAAATGCCCCCCCCCCTTCTGATGCTGCTTGGTCGAGCCTTATTTTTTTTCCCGCTGCACCTCTCTGCTTCCCCCTTTCTTACACCTTCTCGCGCGGCCCAATAAGGTTGGGCTTTTCCTGTTGATGACGTTGTACATGGTCTGGAAGGCCCCCACCGTGGAAGGCGTGCTGGACGGATCCATGGACCCTACTGGCGTTGTGCTTAAGCCGAGAGTTGTGGAGGTGAGAGCTCGGAGATGGTTTTCGAGGGACTCATTCTGCGGTCTTTCCAACATTTGTAGTTTGGTTGTTTGCGTGTGTTCGATAGGTACAAGCGAGACATTTCCTCCTTTGTCGCCCAAGCTTGTTGCGTCTTGGGCGGATAGGCCACCGGCCACCGGCCAATGTTGAGCGGCTTGTGGGTGGCGCTTTGCGTGAGGTTTCGTGAGACAGCAGTGCCTGACGGGCACAACCCTTGGTCAACGCCATGCCTTCGCTTCGTACGTTCTGGCTTCTCTGGAACAGAGTGGATTATTTCTTCATGGTTCCCTGGGTGTCTCTTTTTGGGTTGTCCAGTCAGTGGTTTCTACCTGACACGGTTGACATAGCCTTGCTTTCTCGCGTAAGCCAGCTTTGGCGAAGAGGTACCAAAATCCCGTGGTGGCATTATTCCCTCTCCTGATGACGGATCTCATGTCTTGCGGTTGTTGGGGATGAATTAGAGGGCGTGCGTGCACGAATTGAGCTGTGTGTGTCCCGCTGTCCAGCTACACCCAGCGGGGACGACCAGCACAGCCGTGAACATGCCTCCATTCCGTCGAAACCCACGCCACTATCTTTAACCGCTGCACTTTTTTCAGGCCTTGCATGAAAAAGCTCTGCTGTTTTTACGCCACAAAATGATGGAACTCCTTTGCATGAAAATGCACAAACCGACAAGAGGAAGAACTGCGTTTTTCGTAGGCTGCAGCACCATGCATCACCGCAGCTCAAATCCCCGCCCCACCTAACTAACCCTTTCGATTCCCCAAACATCGCTCGTGCTTGGTTCGTTGTTGCCCTATTCTCAGGTGGAGATGGTGGTTGGTAAGGCTCTTGCTACCGACGGCGACCCGGATTACGATTCGGAGAACCCCCTCTACAACGGCGCCGCCACCATGATCCGACCGTACCCGCTCCCCAAGTCCGCGAAGGCCGCGAAGGCCGCGGCCGTAATGGAGGAGGACGAGGCCACCCTTGCCGCGGCTGCTGCGGCGGCGGCAGCGGCGGGCAGCGACACCGCCTCGAGCGACTACGAGGCCAAGGACGACCCGGAGATGCAGGACGACCTGAGCGTCATGCAGTCGGAGTACGCGGGCCCGGCCGACCTGGAGATGATCGTGGAGGAGAGCGAGGAGGACCGAACGTCTTCACGGTACGAGTCGGAGACGCGCTACTCGCACGCGCCGTCGTACTCCGACACGTACTCGGACTACGGTGACCGCCCTGCGAGGCAACAGCACGCCTCGAGAGGCAGCCACGCGGCCCCCATCCGATAATGAGATCATGCGTGTGGGGGTGCGTGCTTGCCAGGGGGCATGGGGGGGGGGGGGTCGATCGATGATGCCCAGGCAAGGCGTGTACTTTTTGTCTCCTTTGATGTGTGTTCGTTCGTGGTAACCTACCTTTTTACACAGCACCGTAGCTGGCGCGCGCGAGGCTTTTTTTCTTGCCTCGTCCTTTTTTTTTTCTTCTTGTGACGTTTTTTTCCGTTGTTGGATTCAAAACTTAGGTAATGGAGTCATCGATGATCGGCTGTCGGGGACCGGTAGCCTGCTCGCGAAACAGCAGTGTTTTGTGGGTGGATGATGCGCGGCGAAACTTTCCCAGCGCACACCAGGTCTCTTGGGTGGGGCGGGAAGCATGGTCGCCGGCATCAGGATGGGCGTGATCTCGACGGCTAATGATCCCTCTCGTTTTGGTTTTTCATGCCCTCAACGAGCATTTATAATTCTCCATAGTACATCTGCTCGGTAAAGAGGTTTCGCAAGGAATCCCGCACTTCCAACTGCCGGTGCAACTTCGCTTCCATGAACGTCGAAGACGGTGAACTGACGAAAATGTTCGGGGATCTTTTTATCACAAGGCAGGGCTTATGTGTGGGTGTTTGTGAACAGTATCCCCCTGGGTGACTTTTCGTTCCAATCCATTGCCTGCTTGGACGTGGGATATAGATCGAAGACACACCAGCTGACATGTGTGTGTATGTGGACGGGCAGCACGTTTCTAGATCGACCCGTCTCGTGTGGAGGGGGGTGTTGAAAGTTGAGCCGCGACTTTTGGCGTCGTTACGCCGTATCTAAAGCTCCAGGGGAAGAAGGTGCAGCGTTCGGTCTCCCCGTCAGCGGTTTTTTGTTACAGCTTCGTTTTGTTGCTGCTGTAGAGAGGTGGTTGGTCAGGAGAAAGGTCTCTGCCCCCGTTCGTTGTTGAACCTCACGGGTGACCGCCCCCATTATGTCTTGTTTCGTAGCACCTTGTAGCGTTTGCTTGCACTGCTTCGCGTCGTGTGAAGGTTTGCCGCCGATAATTGGCGCTGCTGTTTGTTGTAGTATGCATATTCGTTGATCGGAGGATGAACCTGAGCGGACGCGCGGCATGTGTGTAGGTAGCAGCACGTGCCCCGAAGGCCGGAGGTGTCTTTCTACATGCCAGTATCCATTTCCTGTAAAGTATGTAGTGTTGATTGTCGGTTGGTGATCTTTGGCGAGCTGCCGCGTGTTGTGAGGGAGACGGGGGAGGGTGTGTCGGTCACTTGCGTGTTCTGCCGTGAAGGTATAAATGTAATGTACCCGTCAAATATATTTATTTTGATTGTTTTCTCAGTGGAAAACAAAAACAAAAATGTTGTGTCGTGACGTGCACGGAGGAATGGCGTGCTGGGCGACGCAGGGGGCAAGGCTTTTTGCCTCGAGGATCGCGACTGTTCCCGATTTCATGCATTCGAGTCTAATCTTTCGTACGAGCGTGTTTCTCAGCGGTCGTTCAGTTTCTGTTTTATGTACAAAGTAGTTGATCGCCTTCGTTCTTTCTCCCTTCAGAGATGCGGCAAATTGATTTTTTGCTCATCACCGTGCCGCTGCTGCGTTTTGCTCTCACGCACGGACGAGCCATACAAGAATAAGAATAAAAATGAAAACACACCATACGTGCGTCGAGAAATCCCCCCTGTCCGTGGAAATCGGATGGATGGCTGTAACGAGCCAGCAGCCCCCCTTATGAGTGCGGTGGTCCTTGTCCACCTGTTGTTTTTCGAAGAGCGTCCTGGAACTATCATAGGCCCTTTGGAACTAACAATAGAGCTCGAGGTCACGAAAGACACACACACGTCATACGCATACTTTAAGGAAGCCTCCGCACCCCCCGCACACACAGAAAAACTGAGCGAGAAATCCTGGGGTTTGAGATACCCCATAACGAGTACGCGTCTTCGCCCTTCTCCTTCTAGGGTATGAGCCCTCAACTGTAACGCGGGCGGGTTTTGCAATTCCCTCTCTACCCTCTCTAGTTTGTATAGTTCAGCGATGGTGCATTCAGTGCACGCAGCTACGAGCAGTACCAGCTAAAGTAGAAGTGATTTCTTTTGTGAACTATAATAGACATGAAAGCTAGAGTACATGGGACGGTGTGCAGACCTCTTCGCAGCGCAACGTATTGCAGGAGGCGTTTTCACTCTCCGGCGGTTTCAGCACCCTCGATTATGTAGTATGCATTAAATAGTGCAATCGACTACAGAGTTGTACAACACACTGTCAGTCAGAGTACCGAGCGCGTAAAATCCTCCACCGAGCGTGTCAAATCCTTCATCGACATCTTTTCTTGTGACTTGCTGCTGCTCTGTATTGCTCTGTTTGAGGCACCACAGCTCTGGCGATCTCTCAGCGACTCTATCAACTAAGCAAACGATGCCGACGAGTAAGCACAAACGTCGGCAAGTTGACAGCTCTTCAAAGGGAGCATCGATGTCGTCCGCCCGTAGAAGAAGGCGGCGATGTCGTCACCGTTCGGCGAGGACCACTTGGAGACACGTCATGCCCCCGGGCTCTTCACGGACCTTGTTGTGTTGCGTTGCAGCAATGTTTTGCCGATCTGTACGAGGTGCGCGGCGTGTCATGGTTTCGATGTGTGTTCATGTCGTATGTTGCGGTACAAACTCTCCGCACGGTCTGCTGTAGAGTATAGAAAGTAGATATGAGACACGGGCACCCACGCCAGAGAACACCCGAATTGTACACAAACTGCAGCCTATCTTCATCGGGATCCGGCATACCTTCCGCCACCTTTTGAATCCAAAAAGCTGCCATCTATGTAAAATGGCAATGTTTGAGTTTCGTATCAACTACTTGTACACCGCCGAGCATAGCCAAACGCACGCGCAGTGCAGCGGCTGCGCCAGGTCTGTCGTAGACTTTGTGAACGGCATATCCGTCGAGTAGAGCAGGAGATACATGATGTGCCACATGCATATGCATGTACTTTACGCGTAATATTGCAGTTGAAAGCGATCGTCGTCCATATCAACCGACCGGCAGTACGACATACATACATAATGAAGTAGCGTGTTTTCTGGTATCCTTGTTTCTGTCTGTCTGTCTGTCTGTCTGTCTGTCTGTCTATCTGCCTGTCTGTCTGTCTTCAACTCTTTCTCTAGTACCCGTGAGCTTCCTGGTCTTTCTTGCACCTCGTCCGAATAACCCCTTGCCTCTTGACATCGTTGTCCCAGGCACCATCGGCACGTACTATGCGTCCAACTGCTACGAGGTGGGCGGCGGGAATATGGGCCCTTTGTATCTCGAATGCACCGGCTGCCAGTACAATGAGGTAAGCGTTTATCCGGCTGAGTGTTTAGTGTAATGGGTTACCGACTCATGTGCACTGTAAGTTGTTTTTAGTGGGGTCGAGAGTACGTTTGGTCGTTCAGAATATTAACCGGAGATCGTGACGCGTTTGCGGGTGGAAAATCAACAACAACGACAACGATGACAACGAAGAGAATGACGACGACGACGACGACGACGACAACAACAATATCAATACGAGCAGAAACAATGACAAAATCAACCCCTCTAACAACCACAACAACACCATCACCACCAACAACATCAGCACAGCACAGCTGAAGTTCTTTTTCAGGCATCTAACTACATTACAGCGTGCTTAGGACTGGACACTCGTCCGGGCAGAGTGGTTGGTGGGTACCTTGTTCTGCCTTCTTTGTGGCCAAACAACCCTGTACATTGGCCACAGACGGTATCTACTACTGTGCCAATTCCAACTTCCCGTTTTGACCGCTGTCTTGCTCAGGCGTTCGAGTGTCTGGAAACACTGAGGGGAAACGCATCCCATAACGTGCCAAGCGGCTGCGGGTGAGAGGGTCATTGCGAGTGAAGCAGTGGATAACCTTACCAGTAGCTCTCAGGATACTCGCCAAAATGAGTGTAGTTTGCGGGTTATTGGTTCGTTTGGCAACCAGCGCATTGACAAGAACCGCGATGCCCGCGATCGGTTTCGTTCCTCGGGAGCCGGCTTGATGATAGTACAAGCAACGTAGAAGAACACACACGAAATATATTAAATAACGTCGTGACATCGAAAACCTTTACGCGTTGATCGCGTTTCCCTGCGTCTCTGCGGGGACGTCTCGAAAGGGGACAAACCCACCTCGTGTACAAAGCTACCGCATTGGTTTGAGCGAAGGCAGTAAACGAGACACGCATGGTGACTCCTCCTACAGTACCTCCCTCAAGGTATTAAAGGCGACAACCAGCACCCGTTTGCAAACCTTTCACCGCAGGTAGCATATCGTGCTACGGAACGCTTTCACGCATGAATCACCATACGTACTTGAGAGCCTACATCAGTAACACCGAATCCCTTCGGCAAGGCGCTTTGTTGGGATAAATACATTACAATAGGCCAACCCCACCCCGAACGTCGTACATCGTCCAACACAATTCATCGTGTCTCAAACACAATTGGACAGGATGAACACTTTGACGGTGCAGCCAGACCCGACCTGCTGCCCGGTATTTGAGGACCCAGACAACCAGAGATCACTCGACAGGTAACCGTACGATTGGGAAAAGGTCTATGCATGGGACGGAACGGCAGGTCGCTGTTTCCATACAGAATGACGATGTCGACGAAATGGCAACGTGTCGATATTGATTGCCCTCAATTGGGCCCAAACCCAGCCGAGTCACTGGTCAAAATATCACTCGTGGCCAGAGGGAAAGGCCGGGGCACCGATGACAACCTGCAGAGGTTGGGGTTGGGGTTGGGAGGCTGGGAGGGCGGGGTCTACCGTGAACACGTTGTTTGCCTGCGCTGCCAGCCCGGCGTGCTAGTTGGAGTAACGCCACCATCCGAGATTACGCGAGTAGCTCTACACTTCGGCGTGCAACCTCCCCACCCCAGGTTGTAGTCGGTGCCAAACCTACCCATAACCTGGCCTCTGGCCATCCGTGTGTGCCTCGTTGGTGTATCACGACATTCTGTATTAGGTGCATCCGGAGACCAGTATAGGCTGGCGTATCCCATCGTGTAACGCGACTGCAATATGGGAGGGATGCGAGGTCAAAGATCGAACGGCTGTCGCGTTACATGAGTACACCCCCACGCATCTTACGACGATAGAAAACTAACCTGATGCACAACGGGGCTGTCGTTCTCGTTGACCGATCGATCGATGCAGTTCGACATCCGCCTACCCAGACGCTCTGCTTTGCCTCGAGAACGCTGGCTG